TTTCTCTAATGTATTTGTTGACAGGATAGGATTAATAAAAAATGTCCTGGAGTGGAAAAAAATTGATATGGCCATTTTCTACAAGTCGATCTTGATAAGGCAAAGATGCCCTTCCATTCGAAAATAAAAATGAAAGGCCGAGACACGATATTTATATCAAAGCTATTTATCTAAAATCGTTTTCTTTCTCTTTTCCAGTGAATATTCCCGAAATTATTCTGCAAAAAAGCAAGAATGAACAAATAGAATATTTACAGAGATTGCAGACAGGGGAATCTGTACATTGTAGAGGTTCAAACGACAGCTTCGAGCACATACTTTGGAAATGGGAATATCTAAAAGATGCAAGACCTAACATAGTTAGATCCTGCATCGGCCTCCATGAACATAGTGACATATATATAATCGGCAACAAGGCATATAGAGAACCAAGTAATAAGATTAATTTAAAAAAAAAGAAATTTAAAATTCATGATGCTATGTTTCCTCTGCTGACTTAACGAGGCCCTATACTAGGCATACAAATTCGTTTTTACGCATGCAGCCGGTTTTTTAAGACAGGTCAAAGTACTGTAGGCAAAATTGCTAACGCACCATTTGTTAATTTTTATTTGTGAATTGAACATTTGCCGGATCGGTACTAGTACTTAGTATATATGATATGCCATTATTTCCAAATCAATGGGATTGACAAATGTCTTGGTATCTTGAAAATACCCTTGAATGACCTTCTTGTCCGAAAACCAATTTCTAGCTATGCACTGCGCACCATTTTTGCACAGATATGAAATTCTTAATCACTAAAGGGGTCAGTGAGATTGTCACAGGAGTAGTCCCCCAGTTTAGAATCGAATAAACAAACTGTCATTCACAGACTCTCATATCTCATATTAATCATCTGAAACCTTAGTGTCCATGCCAAATCCACTCCACTTCCGATTGACTCAGTCTTGTGGAACAATTTTCAACTTATTGTATGCTGCTAACTTAATGCCGTGGTTATCTGTAGTAAACATTTTATATTGTTGAGTCTATTTGGAACAATATTTCATGAGTGGAATTCATAAGCTTTTTATTGTTTTTAATTTTTGCAGATTTCTCTAAAAGACCCCCCTGCAGACGCCATACTGTCTGCATTAGCACGCTCCTCTAGTGTCAACCGCCACACACGATGTAATTTTTTCCTGTGTTTTTAATTAGTAAAAATGTAAAGAACACAGATAAAAAGGAAGAAATATTTTTTTTCTTCGAAAATGGAATAGACACGATTTTATGTTTTTCTATTAATTGGTCACACTTCAATAAACATAGTAGTTATTAATAAGTTTTGACAATAATATGCCTAATTTTTGTTAAAGTAACATATGCATATATCAAATGCATCATAAACAGGTTTTCAAAGTAGAATATGAATTTTCTTAGGTGGTGCGTTAGCAATTTTGTCTAGTGTATATAGACTGCATTTCCGTCACAATTGAATTTATGATAAAACAGATAAAAAGACAATAAATAACTATAAAATGTACCGAGTTCCATATTTAATTTAAAAGATAAACATGCAATTCTCTTTTAACCATTCTCTTAGCATGGCATTTACAATTATAATCAAAAAATTAAAAAAAATATATATAATTATTCTTCATTTTCCGCCAAGATCGAGAATCGTAAACAGAAAAAAATAATAGAATAAAATAAAATATAAAATTTTAAATAAAAGGTCTTAAGGTAGGTCCGTACTTTCAAAATTTTCTGTCAACCTAATAATTCTTTAATTTGAATACCTTAAATAAGTCATAAACTAACTGAAACACCCATAAAAGACATATCTTTGCAGTTGAATTTTCATACAACATGTCTCAGAGTGCATACCTCTAAAACTTCAACAACCAAAATTGATCATTACGAAGTGAGATATCACATTTTGATTAGCTATGCACCAAATCACATTAAATTTATATTAAAACATGAAAATCAAAAATATTCATTTGCCAAGATAATATCTGAAATCTTTATTAGAAAATATTAACAAATTGATGTTGAATCTGTCCACGTCTTTCAGAAAAAAATCTCAAAATTTCTTTATTTTTAATATTTTTCAAAATCGAAAGTGTTTATTAGCCATTTTTTCTTCAAAAATATTTAGAATTACACCTAAGGTTAACAAAAACAGATGTCTATTATGTTCAACCAGATAAATTTAACAAAAGAACCTTTTGAAATATCAATTTTTCAATCATTCTTTGCAAAAATTAGTAAAATCTTAAAAGATGATATAGGCTTTAAAATCAATCAAAATAGACCTCAAATTTGTTTGTTTAAAAAAAATCAGAAAGCATTAGTTCTATAAAGGCAATACAGAATTTTGTGTCTGGGTATGTACTAAATGACATAGTTCCTATGGACAGAGAGTAAAGTGTTAAAATTTCCACAAATAACGATATTAAATGCTTTGTATGCTTAATGACATTAATTACAATAAACAATACATACTGGCTAAATTATTTTCAATCATCCAAATAGATTTTTCTCAATTGATAAGTGATAATCAGAATTTTTTATTGGTGTGTAAAATTAAAACCGGATCCGTATAAGTATGGACCTTCCTTAAACGTAAGAGTTAAAATTTATAGAACAGAGATAAAGGTTTGGATTTTTGAAAGTTATTTTAAAATCATCAACAGTTTTGGTTGAATATTATGACTTTCAGGAATAAGCTGCCCTTGAATGAATCAGATCAATTTATATACCTATATAACATGCTTTACGAAGAAAACAAACAGTCATCAAACTCAGAAGCCGAAACAATACAAATTTGGAGAAGACGGACCTTTAAGTAAATTAGAGTAATGATCATGTGACATGGAGGAGGAACCTCATCGGTGTGCTCCTTGGCACGATCAGACAAACGGAAAAATCCGTAGGCAATTTACTATGAAAAAATGGGCAACCAGAAATTTGTATACAAATATTTGTCATCCTTCGACATAATAATGAATTGTATTTGCTGTCATGAATTTTCAAAATGATGAATTAAATTGAGAATGTTGATATTCCTTGTTTCATCAACACATTTGCCAATGGCTTGGTTGTTTTAAGAAATTGTTCGTAAATAGAACATGAATCTGTGAATGGCGTATTGCTTAATGTTAAGAAATTCAGTAAAATAAGAGATTTTATCGAACATGTAAATAATACATTTGTATACAAACATTATATTAAAACTTTGAATTCCAGGCAAATACCATGCCCTCTCTCGTGAAGTTCGAAGTCTTCTTTACAGCTTTCTTCTGCTGGGAAAATACACGCTTAAAGTCAATGAGGAGTCCCATGTAGCAATTTTTAACAAACTCAGAGAACGATATTTTACAGATCTACCAAAGTGTACTGACATAGGGATACCCACCGAATCTCTGTCTGAAATATCACAAACACAAGAAAATGAATTCACTTTTCAATCAGACACCATACGACATGACGTCATGTACGCGTTTGTAACAGAGTGTTTGACTGAGGACAGTGATCTCGAGTTTTTCCTCTCGACAGCATCGCACCAGGTGATATTAGAATATTGTAGGAGCTGGAAATATGAGAGAAGTGAAGGAGAAAGGTGTCTGTATGTTCCAAGCTGGCCTGAAAAGCTTTATGACCTTTTCATAGACCGTCTACAGATTGACACCATTATACACTGTCAGGCATCGGATAAAGTGTTTTGCGACGCAATCCAAGCCCGTTGTATGCTTTTGAAATTTTGTTTTCTCTTATGAAATCAGTTCAAAGAATTTGTTTTTTGATAACAAAGAAAATAAAGTGTATATGCAATCTTGGTTGGCTGGCTTGCAAATACTAGATAAAAAAATGGTTTCAAAACGTTTAAAGTTATTTAAATAAAAAATTACGTATTTTAAACTTTATCTGAATAAAAATTTAAACAGCATTTAAAATATACCAAGGT